GTTTTTTCAATCCTAAAAATACAAAAAAATCAATTTTTTTAAAAATATTTCTGATGTTTTTATTTAACTTTTCAAAATAAACATTTTTAATACAACATCACATTTCAATAACTATATTTTGCATATTATCACCGTAGGATATTTCATGTTATGACTATTTTAAGTTGTTTATGTGCATTCATTTAAACAAAGTTCATTATTTCTGCAATTAAATTTAATAATACCTAATAATTAAATTCTAAATACTAAATGACAGACACATAATATGGCTAACTCGACAAGGCGTTGCCTTTAGAACATGATGATGATGAAATACTAAATAAATAATAGGAATAAATAGCACAAAACAATATGTTAACCAATGAAGAAAAGAATGACAAACAATGAAATGGGGAAGTACAAATTTTTTCAGATAAATTGTACACATAATATCGATGCCCCGTACGAAAAGTAGCACTGTTCGCGAATTTCTTTCAAAGACTAGCACCGGTGTTAGTTTTCGCTAGAACTTGAACGGTGCTACTTTTCGTACGGGGCGTCGATATGTATGTGTACTTTAAGCCTAAGTTATGTAATTTGTTAAATTCTTGTTAAATTTAAAAGTCTTTATTTACTAATGTAGACATTAATAGTTAACACTTTTTATTGTTACTGATAAACTAAAAATTGTATAGTCCTGTTCTAGTCTTTATTACGTCTATAATTTGTAATTATTAATTACTATTATTATTGTATTTTACTAGTCATTTGTTTTAAGACATGTTTTATTATCTTTTGATTTATATAAAATACTGTTTTTTTTTTTAACTGATTGATAACTGATCTTTAAATTTTGAAATAAATATGTTATTATATTTGTGTAATAAACTGGAATACATAAGCATTATTAGTAATTTTTTTTTTTTTTTTTAATTAAAATTTTTTAAATTATAAAACACTAAAAAGATATTAAGAGTTTTCAAGAAGTTGTGTGTTTAGTCATTTTACATTATTTTACTTTTAAATCAATAAAAAAAAATGAAATACTACTGTTATTAATCAATATATTATATAGTATAGAAAAATATTGTTATCAATTAGAAAATGAGAAGTACGCAATTTTTTAGTAGGAACCCGATTTACTGAATTAAAAAGAAGGTAATTTAAAATTAAAAAAAAAAGGTAATAACTATTGGTGACAGATGTGTGGTTTAACATGACTTTTCACCCTTTAAGGACTTTGGACGTGTATAATAGAGAAACAGTACCCCATAGACTGTGGGCATATATATATATATACACATCATATTTTCTATTATGTTCAATTTTTGTAGTCCAGGAGGTTAACAATGAAAAAAAAATGCAGTACTGAAAGGGTTAAAAGACAATATTGATGTTGCTAAGTATGATTATTTGTTGTGCCATGATATATTATTTATAATAATGTACTTGTGTTGGTTGTTAAACCTTTAAACTGTCATTGGTCGCGTAGTGAGAAATGCTCTCACTGTCATATTATGTTGTTAATTACCATATATTTTAATTACCTTATCAGTACCATATATTTTAAAAAAAAAGTACTGTAACTTGAAAAATTATCACCTAGCAATTAATAGTTATCATTGAACATTGTCCGAATGCAACTTGTGGTGAGTGATTTTTTCTATACTTCTTGACCAAACAATAGTTTTTTTTTTGTGGTGAGAACATCTTTCACCACGCGACCACTAAAGTAGGAAAAAAAGACACGAGCAACGATGGGTAGACCAAAATAAGAATTGAAACTAAGCACTAGATTAGAACATTAAATAATATAAAAAAAATTTTAAAATGCCACAATTGTTTTAGAATGACCTTGCTCAAGTATTTTATTGGTAACCAAGGAAGGAATGACATAGTATATGAAATGTAGTACTACTTAAAAAATATGCAATACATTAATTATTTTATAACCTATATAATAGCAAAATTAAATTATTCATTAGATTTATCGTAAAATTACAAAATGACACATCGTGCCGAGCTACACACGATACTTACAATATATATGTTTTACTATAGTGGATTTCACATGGTATGACGTATAAAAACCTAATGTGTTAGTACATAATTTAAATTTTATTACATACAAAAATTTTAAAAACTTACTAAATTTAAATTTCTGAAAAGTATTTTCGAATGACTTATAATTTTTTATACATATTTTAAGACATAATATTGTTCTCAATATAATTTGTAAATCACTTTTCATGTAAACTTTTGAAAAATGCACAAGTTACGACCAAACATCTAAAAATTAATTTATTTATATTAGCTAACAATTTAATAACAATAGTTATGATAGTTAATATAATAATGTAGTAGTATAATGATAATGCATACCATAAAATATTTAATAAAAAACAGTCATGACAACCAAATTTTTGGAAAACTGTAAAAACTTTACGGGCAACCTAATGTGGTAAACACAGCTAAGAGTATTTAAATATATTTTAAACATCTGGGTTTTAGTGGAAATAGTTTTGTGGCTTGTGCCCAAACATGTATATCTATCTCAAAGAATCAAAATCCGCTATAATTTAATTTTGTTAAAAAATAAAACCAAATATATCGACTGCCTCAACGAAAAGAGTCGTTTTCGTATCTCGTTTTTTTACAACTTTTCAGGATGAACTAAACAAACATTGAAAATTTGGATAACATGCTATAACATGTATCCAAATTTTCAAACTTGTATGTTAAAAACAGAATAAGAATATAAATTTGAATGTTTGTTTGGTTCATCCTAAAAAGTTGCAAAAAACCATATACGACCCTTTTCGTTGGGGCAGTCGATATATCAATAAGAACAAAGTACACAGAATTCAGTAATTTATAATTAAAAATGTTAAAATAAATATAAAATTCAACTTTCATTATAAAATTGAAACAAACCAACTCTAGAAATGGCTGAGAAATATATTTTTATATATATACATACCATTTCTAGAGGTGGTTTGTTTCAATTTTAAAGCGAAAGTTTAATTTTATTTTTCTGCTCAGAAATATATTTATTATTAATTTCTGATCTTTTGACTAGGTATATAAAAAGATTAGCAACAATACTTGCTCCAGGCTGTAGAAAAGCATCAAAAAGAGTTTTCTAAAGCACCAAATTAATCATTATGAAAAAAAATTGATCAATTTTGTAAAATATATGTTAAGCTTTGTTTATCTATTTTTGTTAAAAATTCTATATATCATTTTATTATGGAATTTATTTTGTTATAGAATTAAAAGAAGAATAGATAGAGAAAATGAGTATTTGTGTCCTATAATTTTGTTTCATTGTTACAGTATATACTTTCACTTTATTATTACTGAGTTGAAAAATAAAAGGTTACGTAATTACAATTTTCTAAATTGTTTGTGATGTTTTATTTTGATTGCATTAGTTAATTTTTTTTTTGACCATTAAAAAAAACGTTTTATTGTTATAGTGATTTTGTTCGCAATCAAATAGAGAATATGCTTGGATTTTTTTGTTCTTAAAAAAAAATCAGAGTAGTTATGTGGGGGTTTTAAAATTAAAACATTGAATATTTTCATTTATTAAGGTCAATAGCATTAGCAATATCCTTATTTTGTTTCCAAGTGAGTATCAAAATGTATTTATTTTATTATTATAATTTTTTTATAATAGATTTTTTCAACCATTTTTTACTGAACAAAAAAAAACTTAAAAAATTAAACTTTTGATATAAATTTAAATTAACCACCTCTAGAAATTGTTTTGAAAATTCAAAAAAAAAATCAAAAATGTTTTTTATCCAAATAATATATTCACAAGAGAAGAACAAAAAATAATAAATTAAGGTTTTTTTGAATACCATAAATATATATATAAAGTGGCGTAATTGAGACTTCACCAGATTGCCCCCCCCCTTAAATACTCCACTGTATATATATATATATATATATATATATATATAATAGCATAATATTATCAATAAAAGCTACATAACAATTGTTTTATTCAATTTAAGTAGGGCAGATTCTAAACAACAATATTCTTGTTAGGAAAGTATGTCAAACCTAATGCCATGTACATATTCATAGAAAAACATTACAGAAAATCTTTATACAAACAAAATAATCTCCCTAACTGCCACACACTTATCAAACATTAAAATAAGACCATATCTACTATTTATACCCCTTCATCACACGCATAATATATTGATCCGTTAATCTCCAAAATAAGTTTCTAATGATATGCACAGCAGTTTCTAATAAAAACTATTTCAATTTATTCTCACTTTATGTGCTATGGGCGTAACTCAACTACTTTAATAATAAAATACCATTGAAGCTACTCATTTGTTATTCTTCTGTTCTTCACATTTATAGTCACAACAACTGTAATATACAAATTAAATTTAACTTATAAATAACTAAACTAATAAATATAAAACTAACTTGTAAAAACTTTGTTCAAGTCGAATTTAAACAATATTAATTCGTGTCTGGTGATTTAATTTGTAAACAAATTAGTAATTAGTCGAAAAGTGTAGTTTTTGGCGATAAAGTAATTTGAATGGCGATAAGGTTTTGAAAAACGTTACAAAGACGTTCTAATTTAAGCAACTTCTTTGGTTTACATCACGACTGTCGAAGGAATGGAATGGTAGCAACGAGACAAATTAATATGTTGATGACTATGTGTATTTTAAAAACCTACGACCTTTAGCGACCTAAGCGAATAAAACGACGAACTAACCAAATATCACGTATGTAGTTCCACAAAAAATGTTACAGAGAGCGCTACAGAATCGTGGTAGGTGATAGAGGCCGCAACGTTGATAACAAGGTGGAGACGACAGCAGCAGCTTGCCTATATATCCACCTTGGTTGATAACAAGGAAGATCGTGTGCTGTGTGATAATGAACGCAACATTTGTTTTGGGGGGACTTGGGAGTTTAAACTATGAAATGGTGAAGGGGACCAATCGGAATGTTGATTGTCGCCGCGTAATCAATCGTATCGCAAATCGTAACCCGTATGGCACGGATAACGACGACACTCGACAGCCATTAGCAAAACCAGTAACCACCGTACCTCGTCCGATTATAATTAATACAACATAAACATATTATTATTATTATACAGACGTCGTGTAATGTATAATATTGTTATTATTATTATGATTATGTTTTTCCGATAAGATGCCGAAGTTCTTGAACAAAATGCTATGAAATCCAAACGATGTCGGTGTGAATTCTTTGGCAAAATACCAAAAAGCTGTTTTCGGACATACCGTCGTTGAGGTTGGTCCTATACTGCGCATCACAATTGTCACTCAGACACGGCCGTTCAAAATACTGTGACCAAAAACGGAGGTCTACAGCTGTTTTGTACCTCTGGACTTTTACCACCACCATAATAAACTTCAGTCTGCATTTCCTACAACAGCCAACAAAAAATAATATTTATATGGATATATATTCTTTTTTGTTGTATCAATTCAAATGTTCCATCCGTTCGTGCTCCCTAGTCATTGTTAATTATATGTTAAGTCAAGTTGATGTTGTGGTCAATCCGAAAACATGAATGTTGAAAATCACCAACAGCCGCCCACATCCGAACAAAAAGGTATAGATAAAAAATTGTTTATGATATTTAAGGTTTTTATCACATGATTGGTGACAGTATGTAGCATTCGCTGTCACTGTTTTGGATACCTAATCATAGACAACCCTGAAATATTGTCTTGTGAAAAGGAGCCACTTTCCTCTTCTACAATGACAAACTAAAGACCCATCTTAGAATATCAAATTAACAAAAAATCTTCTCCTTAGAGAAGGCTGTAGAAACAACCCTAAATAGACCACCTAAGCTGTGTTCCATTTAAAATGATGATTAGCTTATTATCGCTATCAAACACTTTGTATTAAACTTTCTGTATGCTAAAATATTATTTATCCAATAGATAAAACTAAACAACCATATCAATAAGGGACTTTGGGAGGATAAGTCAGGTCCATTTTGTATCACCTCATCTTAAACATTAATTTGATATGTATAAATATATATTTTCTAAAGTAAAGAAACAAAAGGCATAAATATACTTTACCGGATACCCTTCTTTTAGCAATATTTTTTTTGTCATCTATTTGCGTTTTTAACAGTCAATCAGCGCAAAAAATACTACAAGATGACGAAAAAAAATAACATTGCCCTAATTTCTTGTTACAGCTAATTGCTTAACAGTTTCTTTTGCCGATAGAAATTAATATCTATACTTTATATCTTACTATGGTACAAATCTACTTAACCCTTTTTTTTTTTTTAAATCTAGTACTTTTAATGCTGACTACAAATATGTAAAAATTTGCCCCGCTCGCACTTAGTTTGGAAGTTACAGACTTTTTAAAGTTCACTGATATCGACATACGCGGGCATATACTTTGTCCGTCGATCGCCGCTCGATTATGATCGGATTCCTTGTCTACCTGCCTCCCGCCCCTCGTGGTCCTTTTTTTTTACACGATTTTCAGACACGATAAGATTAAATCAATGGTGTTCAGAAAAAACCGTCAAAAAGTCTAAAATTTGGATTTTTCAATGTTAAAAAATTAAAATTTTAACGAAAATTAGAAATAAGATATTGTCTTATTTTTCACATATGTATAACGACTGATAGAATCGTTGTTTGACTTGGGTTGTTTTACCCATAACACCATATAATTTTTTTGAATCTATGCATGACAAACTTAGTTTAGTAAATTGACACTTAGCCAGTTTTTTTTCGAGCACCATTGAAATATACTTAATGCGCATATTCTGTATAATGGGCGTCCGTTATGTTTAAAGTGGCGATTGACGGGCAAAGTACCCAGCGGGTGCTGGTAGACGTCCAGGCACACGCGTATGTCGATATAGGCGAACTTTAAAAGTGTAACTTCCAAATTTAGTGTGTGCGGGGCAACATTTTTACATATTCGTAATCAGCATTAAAAGTACTATCGATTTAAAAAAAAAATTTTTTTAAAAAGGGTGCCCGGTGAAGTAGATTTGTTCCTTTACTATTTTAGTAAGTTTTGCTCATTGAATAATTTTTACTAAGTAATAATTTAATGAATTTGTTATATCAATTTATTGAATGTTATTACTGTAATATGAAATTAGAATATGTAACTTATTTTATTATTGATCTATACATTTATATAATATTGTATTTTTTTTTTGTTTTAGATTCTTCACATAAAAGCAAACGGTCAATACTCCAGGATAAAACTTTTTTAATTGACATAGTAAACAATATGATAAGTACAAAGGTAGAAAAACTCATTAATGCTTATGGAGGAGTAAGTAAAAGTGATACGTAATATGTTTACGATTATTAAAACATCTAATTTAATGTTTTTATTAATTTTTCAGAAAATCCTCCAGTCTTTAGAAAAAAATACTAGTTATTTAATATCCGATGTGAGAAACAATGGGAAATCCATACATAATAATGAAGCAGAAATAAATAATGTAAGAATATTCATATATGTTAATGGAATACATTTTTTTTTAAACAATTAAAATTATAGTGCGGCAGTACTGTTAATGAAGTGCCATGTACGAAACAAGATGATTCCACTGATCTCATTAGTAAAGCAACTCTTTTGAATATACGAATATTTTCACCTAAACAGGTTAGTAAATTAATAAAAAAAATTTTCCGGAGTGTACAGATACCCAACAATAATAACCACTCTCTTCCATTGCCGTCTTTTAGCTTCGATGTGGAGCTGAGAAGGTATTGTTTTTACAATGATGTGTTTTGCCTCAATATCTTCTAAGCCACTGAACCGATTTCTTCGCGTAGCAACTCTATGATAAAATTTAAAAATTTCACCCCTTCCCTTTTAAAATCGAGAAAAATACCAAGCAAATTTACATATTTTTCAACTTAAAATTATAATGCTTTAAATTTGTTTTGAAAATAATCGAATTAGTTCCAAATTTGTATGGAATATTCTTTAAACGTAGTACTACCGATAAACATTGACAAACCAAAAAAATATCATAAACCCTTTCCCCCCTAGAAGGGGGAAGTTTTTCTTTTTTACATTTTTTAAGCAAAGTTTTTAGGGATTCGGGTCTGAAAATTAAACCGAAGGTAGATTAAGTATGGAACTATAAAATATACAGTTTTTTCAAAAATTTGTAGGCAAACTTTTTTTTATTAAGAAACTTAAAAAAAGAGGAAAATATTCTATGACCTTAGTCAATTTTCACATTGCTATGTGTATATAGCAACAGTGAGTCAACAGTCAACAGGTAATGAAAATATTTTCATTTTATTGTTAATTACGATGTATGGGAAACTATGGCAATACATTTTTATAGACAGACGATCAATCCTAATCGTATCAACCCTATTACTAAAATTTAATTTTTAAGCTCATAATTGTCATAAGGTACAATGCTTTTATTGATATTTGTATTTTTATCTCTGAATACTGGACCTTACTTAAAACGTTGACTGCTAACCTACGAGATAACTCATAGTTTAAATGGTACTTTACAAAGCAATTAAAAACGATGGCAGTCAACTTGTTAATTACTACTACTACAACTTATTTACATACAATACTTTTGTACTTTACTGGTTTATACAGTGTGTGTGTCGTTTGGACTGTACTGGTTTGAATCTACTATCCTCTTATTAAGGCCCCTGGATTCCAACCGTTTTTTCAGCCAAAAAGATATCAAAAAAGTATGATGACCAATCTCAAATAAACTTCATGACAAATTAAAATGTGTTTTTAGATTACTTATTGGGTCACTGGTTCAGCCTGTGCGATGGAACAAAAAATATATAATATATTACCTAAAATGGTTTTTACTCATAGACAAAATGATTTAAATTAAAAATAATACCACGAAGCTTTTACAAATTAACCGGTAAATTAATTGACATGGTCGAAATTTATTAAAATTTAAAACCACTTTTTTCTTAAAATTGCCTATACAAAACTTCTTAATAATGGTCGGTATCCAGAGGCCTTAAAATAAACTAACCTAACCTCCCTGTCCCCACTATACTTTGATCTTATGAACTGGCTAATTTTTTAAATTTTATAATTGATTATTGTTTTTTGTAATTAGTTTCAGCAATGGCTTAAGTCTTTATTAAAAAACCGTCGGGTTAATAAAAACCCTGTCGACAAAGTAGCAAGTGTCCTTCGAGGAAAAATCAGTTTAAAAATTGAATCATTGGACCAAGGTCAATGTCCTGTATTTGAATTTATTCCTAAGTGGCCAGACCTAGGTGACACATTGTGTAAAAAGAAAACTAAAGTTCCAGCTGAAAACAAATTTGATATTAATAAAAGTGGTGACGAATACTCTTCTGACCAATATAGGTAATTATAATGTATTATAATTTACAATGTAAAACAATTAAAAAAAAAATTGTATAGTTGTCATGTCAAACAATCAACAATGCTCATTTTATTTAGAGTGTTTTGCTCTAAAATATGTTGCTTTTTTACATTTTTACTCATTTTAGAATAGCTATATGAGGGTCTTAGATTAAAAATAACATCGTTAGTCAATAGTCGTAATTAACATGTCCTTAGTTAAACTTAACTTATCATTATTAACACTTAGTAATTGTATGAATGAATGTAATTATTAGTTACTTATAATTATATTTATAGTATCATTAATAAGATGTAGATGTTAAATGATTTTATTTAAATGAATCGGGATTAATTAAATGTTTGGCTTTAAACTTCTATTTATATTTTTAATCAAAGCTATAAAATGAGTATCGTGGCAAATTTTTACGATATCAAACTCGCTTCTAGAGGTATCACATTTTATTCATGTACATGGTAAAACAAAAACTGTTTGCCTCCCCCTCCCACAATCTGTTTATTTGGGAAACCACTAATAATAAAAATTAATTTTAAAAATATGATTTAACTGTTTTGATTTTTTTGCAGTACATCGGAAATTGGTGGCATGTGTGAGCTATGTGATGTTCCTTTTATGAACTATAAAGAACACATTAACACAAAAAAACATATGAGAGAAAGTCAAGACGAAAACAGATATTGTGAACTAGATGAATTAATTAATGAAAGACCCCTCAGTATGATTTTCAACAAATTTGAACCTGATCAGTATGTCAAATAAATAACGTATTTGTAAAAACTAATAGAATTATAATATTATACATTGTGGCCCAGAGGGTTACTGCGACAGTGTTTCTACGCACTAGCTGTAGTTCAAATCTCGGTCGCTGGCCGTTTCTCTAGCTGGGCGGGCAACCGTCTAGAGAGAGAAATTGTCAACCCCCTGGGTGGCAACTCTTATCTTTTGTAAAGCAAGGGTTGTTCAAACCAACCTAGACAGGTCATTGACTAAAAAAAAAATAATGTTATAAATATTTGTTTATAGCACAATTAGCCAAAGCGCAACTATTATTTCGGAACAGCAGGAAGATTCTAGTGTTAAAGGCAGTTTAGATGATTCAGTTACCACTAATTTAGATACGGATTCTAATGATAATGAAAAAAATTTGGTAATCAGAGTTTCTAAATAAAATTAAAATTTTCTGTGTAATTATTGTAATTTAATATTGATTAAATTACAAAAATAAATTTAAAAAATAATTGTATTTTTTTCCAGCTTTGTTTGTATGGCGCCAGTGTTAATAATGATCAGCCATCTCTTAATTTAAAGCGAAAGTATTGTTCTGATACTACTATATCATATACACCTGAAAAAAAACGAAAAACCGATTTTCTGTCCACATGTTTAGAAGAAAAAGTAGAAATAAATTGCTACAAAAAAACTAAACGGAAACGCAAAGTACGACAAAAACAATCTTCTAAAGATATTTATAAGGTAGAAGTAATTAATAGCCATTCATACTCAACATCAAATAATGATAAGTATGATGATCAAACCAAATCAAATAAACCCCCTGTGATAATACGTCTGAAACGTGTACAAAATACTGTAGATAGTGAAACAGGAAATGAGACGAGTGATAGCAATATCAATGATAGTAGTGTTAAAACACCAACAATAAATGCTAGTCCAATAGTTCGCAGATATTTTCGAGTTGTTCGAAAAGAGAGTTTTAGTAACAGTGAGGGTGATACTAAGATAAATTCAAAAAATTTAACATTTTCATTTGAACAACCTGAATTACGTCAAAATCGTAATAGCGATATTAATTATCATCCAACCTATACATGTATTCCGAATATTGGACCCAGCCCTCAGTATATTCAAGAAAGTTTGTCTAAATTAGATAAACATAATGTGAAGTTTAAATTGCTACCCTTTGACAAGTCCTTAGAAGTTTTATCAAACATAGAACCTCGACGATTTGGAGAGTGGTTTTATAAGATACCTAAAAGAATCCAAGATGACCTGTCATTTGATTCAGCTACACTGGTTCCTTTAATGAACGAATCAAAATGTATATTGAAAACAAGTGACGAAAACAAGGCAAGTAGTTCATTAACTTCTTAGATAATTGTATGGTTCATTTGGTTGGATTGATAGCTTTTACATCCTATTCTCAAGATCTCTAATCAATATTTGGTTTTCAAAAAAGCATGTTTTTTATTTTTTCATAGTTTATCTTATTTTTCCAATAACTTTTTATTTTTTTAATTTTATCCATCTTGCCTATTTAATGGAAAACGCACATTAGAGCTCTAGTTAACACCAATGATTGTTTTTAGATATTTGTTTTAATGTTAATTTTTTTCTTGTTTTTTATTATGTACATGCCATAATTCTCATTTAATATCACGAATCATTAAAAAATATAATTACTTTAATTTCAATGATATTTAGTACCGTTTATCATTTTAGTTAACATAATCTCATTTTAGGTGCAAAAGCTCTAAAATATTTTAATTATTATTAAATAATAATAATAATATTTTTAGTATTCTTTTATTAGGAACAACATTTCTATTGCTAAAAGTCTCTGCTTGGTGATATTTCTTATAATATTTAAATTAAATAGTTTACACTCTATTTATTGAGATTTTTATGAAAGTTGTATTATTTCATAAAAAATAAATTATAAAAATGTATACAATAATTTTTGTTATATAACATTTTGAAAATTGTTGGGATTTTATATTTTTAAAAATTGATATTGGTGGTTTAATAATTAATGTATAATTTTAAGATTAAAAAATTGTTATATATTTTAAGTAATATTTTATTTAAAAAATATATATATAATATTTTTTTAATACTATTATGGTTAAGTGAAAATTAAGGACATCAAGCATTGAATATTAAAAAACAAATTAAACACAACTTTATATGCTATTAAATGTTAATTTGTTTCGTTAAATATTAAATTTTAAAACTAGTTCAAACAATTTATTCATAAGATGTATAGCATGACCGATTATCATTAATTTAAATAATATGAAATATGTAATTTAATATTTAGAATAACTAAAAGTTTTTATTATTGGAGTGTATAATTGTCAATTTTTACCGAATACATTTACTAGTTAATGTTTTTTTTCTTTTCAACTATAGCTTTGATCCGTTACATATGTATATTTCATTAGTATAATGGTTATTATATTGAATTGTTTATTATATTTGTAATTGTTGAGATGAATATTTCGCTAAAATTTATTTATTAAAAACGGTTTGTTCTTGTATTCATAGTTTATATAAACACAAATATTTTAGTTATTGATAATTAAACAAACTAAAATTAATAACATCTGATAGAGCTTACAGTGTTTAAACATGATATATTTTTAGAGATCTTACTTGTCAATATTTGCTTCTATAATATTGTAACAAATAGTATCATAGTATCACAATTATAACATCCATCACATGATTTTCAGGTAGTGTTCACCGGTTTGTTGTATTGTAACTTTTTTGAGATAAAGTAAAATCATTATATTATTTTACTGGAAACTTGATTTGCAAATGTAAATATTTTGGTTATAGTTGTTACTAAACTGTTGTTATGAATTCAATAAAGACAAAGTTTGTTAATAAAATGGTTGTATTGTGTTTTTGAGCAAAATACTACACTTGTAATGCCTTGTAAACATTTAATAGTTGTTATTTATTTAAGTACAATGAAGGATGTATGAATTATAATGAAATTTAGGTTGAAGGTAAGTTTAATATTTTCATCTTTTCGTTTATTTAAAATATTAATTAAAAAATTGTTAATTGAGTTATACCAATTTTTTTTATGACATATTTATAATTATTATATTTTTAATAACTTAAATTTATTTATTTATCTATATAAAAAAAATTATAATATTTGTATATCTATAAATATTGCAAAATAATTTCAGTTTTTGTTGTCTATACTACTACAGATTTTACTATGTTTACAGAATGCTCAATACTGATGGTAGGTACTTAACAGTAGTGGGGGGGGGGGGGGGGTAATGACATCTACTTGTCATTAGAAAATAAAATTATTTTCTATTCACCCGTTTAGTACCCTGCACCTTAGAAATTAGAATAGATTCTGGGTTATTGGTTAGTGCTAAGCAATAAGCATCGTGTACTATGTAAACCTGACATTTGAATTTGATTAAATAATATTTCTATGCTACAAAGCATCTGATGCATGATTGACATATACAAGATTATTGCACATATACCCCTTTCTTCATAAAATACTCGATGATAATAACAATTATGTCAGCACTCGCCACTTAGTCATTAGTGTAACGAGCGTAATCAAGCATATAAGTATACGGTAAAATATATAGTAAAATTGATAACTTGTTAAGTTGCCATTTTGTTTCATGACTGTTTGATAAGAATGACTGTATGATAATATCAGATTTAAGGATTTGATAAAACTTGCCAATTGCTTTCATACTACGTGTGTGAAGTTAGCCATAAACGAGCCAGCAATATTTGATAACAGAAAGTGTCATGGCGTTGGTGTATGTTGTGTTGCCAATACACTTATTATTCTAAGGGGCAGTCTATATATCCCCATACACCGACGATTATTATTATACGATATCGAATTAATCAATTAAAATATATTCTAATTATCGACAAAATAGTAAGAGTATATTATTTAACTTAAAAAAATGGCACTGGACGTTTTGCGGCCGCCGAACCCAACCCAGCAATAAAAAAGCGGACGACCGCCGACCGAATCCGGCGGCAGTTATGTCAATTTTTGACAATGTCCCGGAAGAGGTCCCCTCAATTTGATTATACCAATCGAAAGCTTACTAAAGTGTCTAAAAATTCGTCTCTATAAAAAAAGTTGGCACCGGGGGTCTTGCGGCCACCAGGAGCTGCCGAACCCAACCCAGCAATTTGTACACATGCTCTACAGGCTACAGCCTACATCATTTTAATGTAGCATAAGAAAAATCATATCCATTCGTTACAGCTGTAGAGTACGCGTCTGTAAAGGACCGTACAGTACACAAAAGACTAACGGTATCGGCAGGACTAGGAGTCGTTGTTAAATAATTAAACATTTTTTAAACTTAGTTAATATTAGTATAATAATAAAAAGTATTATTAGTTAAACTGATATTCAGCATAATAAATATCTGAAAAAAGCGAAAAATGGCAAGAGCACGTTTTGCATTGTCGCCCTTCAATTTGGGTGTTCTTTATTATAAAGCTATTATTTAGTAGAGTAGTGCGACTGCAACAAGTACTCAGGTAAATTATATTAACTACAAACTGTTTAAAATATTTATTATGCTAAATATCCAGTTTAACCAATAATACTTTTTATTATTATACTAATATTAACTAAGTTTAAAAAATGTTTAATTATTTAACAACGACTCCTAGTCCTGCCGATACCGTTAGTCTTTTAGTGTACTGTACGGTCCTTTACAGACGCGTACTCTACAGCTGTAACGAATGGATATGATTTTTCTTATGCTACATTAAAATGATGTAGGCTGTAGCCTGTAGAGCATGTGTACAAATTGCTGGGTTGGGTTCGGCAGCTCCTGGTGGCCGCAAGACCCCCGGTGCCAACTTTTTTTATAGAGACGAATTTTTAGACACTTTAGTAAGCTTTCGATTGGTATAATCAAATTGAGGGGACCTCTTCCGGGACATTGTCAAAAATTGACATAACTGCCGCCGGATTCGGTCGGCGGTCGTCCGCTTTTTTATTGCTGGGTTGGGTTCGGCGGCCGCAAAACGTCCAGTGCCATTTTTTTAAGTTAAATAATATACTCTTACTATTTTGTCGATAATTAGAATATATTTTAATTGATTAATTCGATATCGTATAATAATAATCGTCGGTGTATGGGGATATATAGACTGCCCCTTAGAATAATAAGTGTATTGGCAACACAACATACACCAACGCCATGACACTTTCTGTTATCAAATATTGCTGGCTCGTTTATGGCTAACTTCATACTCGTTACATACTGCAGTCTACATAGTATATTATACATTACTTACCTCATATTTTATTTTATATATTGTACAAATTGAATTAATACTAATTCAAATAAATAAAATATAAATTATGTTTCTTAGATCAGTAGCTGGCGCATTAACAGCAGTGAACCGTATGCCGTTTTTAAAGTTGTTCAATCCTAGTACTAGTGTACATACTACGGCAGCTCTTCAGTTAAAAGAAGGTGACGAATTCATTTTGTTCTAAAAACCATTCCTTAAAGTGGTCTAAAATCTTTTTTTTAATATCAAATTTTAGTTAAAGCGACTAAACAAGAAAATACTTTGATCATCGAAGGAGTTCAAGTCACTTCACCTAGGACAGATTACCTCATTAAAATGCCCAGCGAGTGCTGTCCGCTGTGTCGTCTAAATCTTGATGTTAAACATACCGTAATAATATATTGAAATGATTGTAACATATAACATATATTTAATTTAATTTAGTTGTGTTAAACGAGTATTTTTTTTTTATACAGGATGTATTAATTCTTAGTCAATTTGTCAGACCAGATGGCTGTATGATGCCTCGGCGTGTAACTGGTCTTTGTAAAACCCAGCAAAAAAGAGTTGGTAAATTAGTATCTATGGCACATAAAGCAGGTAATTTTTTTTATATCTTCATGACTACTAGTGCGTTCGCGTTTTAGTCTTTATTTGTGATAAACTGATGCTTTCCATTTCCCTTATCAAACTAATGAATAATGAGATATCATTTATTAATACTTTAATAAAGCCTTCGATCATAATTTCTTTTTTATTTAATAACCTTTATTTTGTTGTTGCCGCGAAAAAACCTCCCATGTGCTAAAATCAAATTGTTCAGGAGACGCTAAAACGTGTAAAACGGTTTATACTAAGATACTACGTTGGAGATTTTATCATGATAACTTATTTTTTTATGTATTCAGACATACCAAAACCTCAAAATCGTAAAATTGGCACACAGTTTGTTCTATCCATAGATGATAGAAGTATTAAAAACATATTTATTAATTAATAAATATATGTATAAAATAAATATTTATATATTTATTGATTAAATTTGTTTATATATATATATATATATATATATATATATAAACAAACATATATTTATATATATATATGTTTGTTTTTTTATCATTACTAATCCTTGAATGTATTTTATATTCAATTAAAAAAATATAGTTAATAATTTGTATGTTATTTGTTTTTGTAGGATTGATGTGCAACATAACTCTGGAAAATAAGATAAAAAATCCTAGCAACCGAAAAGATTGGAAAAAATATAACACATACTTTGATGAGTCAACTATTAAAATATATGAAACACACTTTCTTAAAGCCAGAAAGGAAGTTATTGAAAAATATATGAAGTCTATAAAAGGACAGTAGGAAAAGATCAATAATTAATATGTGTAAAATAAATATTGGATTTCAAATTATAGATAATATTAGATATTCAATTTATAATTCTTATCTTGGTAAAATACAGTAATAATAATATTTAAACAATAGTTTTATTTTATAATGTCATAAATACATACTGCAAATCATTGAAATTATTTAGAAAGAATGATGTGGCTATAAGCTAGCTTCATAGGTACTTCTTTTATTCCAATTATTTACTTAAAATAATACAAATGTACTAAAGTGTACATTATTTTAGCTTCGGTGCGGAGCTGAGAAGGTATTGTTCTTACAATGATGTGTTTTTTTTTTGTGTCTGGACCCCCGATTTCTTCGTGTAGCAACCATATAGATCAGAAATCATACCTGTAAGGTACTGTACAGGGCCAAAAATTAAAAAAATCACCCCTTCCCCATCAAAATCGATAAAAACGCCCAAAATCTTTACAAATTTTTCAACTTAAAATTACAATACTCTATAACTTTCTTAAAAATAGTTGAAAATGTTCCAAATTCATATGAATTGTTCTTCAAACATAGTACTATCGATAAACATTAACAAACCAAAAAAAAACCATAACCATTTCCCCTAGAGGGATAGAATTTTTTTCTTTTTTTCACTTTTTTAAGCAACGTTTTAGAGATTTAGTTCTAAAAATTAGACCTAATGTAGATCTAAAATGGATCTATAACTTATACAATTTTCTCAAAAATCTGTAGTCAAATTTTATTTTTTATTAAGGAAAAACACCAAAAATAGGGTAAATTTACACTTTGGCCGTAGTCAGTTAGGTATGGATATTAATTACTAACATGAAAATGATACAACAATATTCTTAGCATAATACAACATTAGTATATTACTAGCTATGTTAGTTACATTATGTGCCTAAATGTGCACATTACATACTTTAAATCATATGATATGAATGATATTATATTATATCTATGATACATGCATTTATTTTCCAATAGAGGTATACCTACGAATTTCTTATTGTTATGAACTAAAATAATGTTGAACACATTGTACATTACATAATAATTCGTTGAATTAAATTTCTGTACGCTAAAATAAAGATGAATTAAACGTAATTAACAAATCAGTATAATTCATATTGTCGTTTTTGATAATGTAGTTTAAATCGTTCTGTAAAGTCTTTCTTTTTAAAACATAAATAAAGTGATCGAAATCAGACCAATCTATAAGCCGTGAAACAATTTACTGAGAAATATTTTTTACCACTAAAATGGCTATAACACATAGAAAAAATTGTTTAAGTTAAGAATTATACCTACCCTAAAAACAATTTATCTGAAAAAAGTTTATGACAAAAGTTACTAATGTGATTACCTACTTATAATTTTTGGCATGAAGCTTAATTTGTAATAACTTTTCACTATTATTAGTGAGACAGACTACCCTAGTAGGTATATCACTTTATCTGTGTAGAAAAAAACCTGTTAAGAGGGCGTCGCACTGTCCATTTTTAAGGAGTAAAGTATAGGCAATTTTTTACAAAATCTTAATTTAAAGCTTAAACAGTAATGTGTAATGTAAAATTACAAAAATGTCGTTTACGGCCTTTTGCCTTATATGCGTCTATGTATAAATTTAAATGGGTTATGCAATGAATATATTTATAGATAGTGGTAAAATGTTCATTTTTCTTTTTGTAAGTACCACCAATTATGATCATTTTTTAATAGATAATAATATAATTTAAATTAATAATAAAAAAGTAAAACAAAAATACGAAATAAAACTTAGGTACTACAAAAGTAAGTTTTACTTAGTAAAACAAAATTACTACTGGTGTGTAAAATTAATTAATAACTTCACGTAAACAACTATCACGTTGAAATCCGCCAAACACGTTAATATAATACCAATCCTCAATCGAGCTAAGATGTCTATATTTATGTCCTCGTATTTGTTTAATATAAAGGTATAATATGTATGTATTGACATTGGTATAATCTGTTTTATTTTATACATTAACATGCGTTAACGGTAAACATAACTTATTTTATGTTCTTTCGTAAAAAGTTGCGGTTTAACAGTACTACTCTGATAAAGTGCTACTCTCCCCCACAGGTCACTCCACTTTTCAGTCCAGTAGCTAATAATTCAAACAATTTTATTTCTTTTTGCACACAGTGTTAACACTAAATTATTAATAACTATGCGTTATTTGTTTTCATTCGTCTGGTCACACTGTATGGTATTGATTTTTTAATAGGAACTTTAAACATTGAGCGCTGAAAGTAGCAATGACATACTACTGAAAGATTACTGGCGAAAGCAGGATATTGTCGGGATGTGTAAAATTGTATAAAGCACCACCTTCAATCTATTTTCTATTTGTGACACCGGGGCAGACATGTAAATATGACTATCACTTTATTAATAATAATAATACACTTTCGACATAGGATTTAAGAAATTGGTTTCGCATTGCATGCTGTGAACATAAACAGAACTTTTATAAATTATAAATTTATGTTATTGAAAATTAAAAACTGATCTTTTGTGGGGTGATTTACATTACAAAACATTTGAATTGTTTTGAAATGGCAAAGAGATGTAGTATTATCGATTGCATAGTCTAGCACAAAGAAAATCTATACCTGACATCGTATATTATACTACCATAATCCATATCCATGTAATGTATTTTTATATTATTTATGTATTGTTAATAGTCTTTACTACCGGAAAAATACAAGGGTATATTATATCATTAGACAAAACAATTTTTTTTTAGTAATATTTTTTTTTATTATGTACACTGTACTTGAAATACATTTTGACCTTAATCTGGACCTTAAAACACCTACTTGTCCACATTTAATTAACGCAAGACATAAACAAGTTTTTGGCTGTTTTTAACAAATCAAATAAAAAAATGCGAGGACCACGGAAAATTGTGATTGATTGTTATACTACAAAATAAAAAGCATATTAAGGCCCCTGAATACTGACCCTTTTTTCAGCCAAACCCCATAATTTTGTGTCCGTCGTACAGGCCGAACCAGTGGTCGGATAAGCAGTCTAAAAACAGATATGATTTTGACATGAAGTTTACTTCAGATCGGTCAGAGTATTATTTTCAAATTTTATATTTAACCATTTCCAAATTTAGTTTTAAAATTTGAATTTTTTTATAAAATATTCAAACGTGTTTGATGCGTAGTAGGAATAAGCTATCAAAAAAGTACGCTCACCAATCTGAAGTAAACTTCATGACGAATTCAAATTTGTTTTCAGATTACTTATCGGATAACTGGTTCAGCCTGTGCGATGGACAAAACATGTATATTATATTAACTAAAATGGCTTTTACTCATAGACAAAATTATTTTAATTAAAAATAATACCACGAAGCTTATACAAATTAACCGGTAAATTAATTGACATTTTCGAAATTTATTAAAACCACTTTTTTCTTAAATATTGCCTATATAAAACTCCTTAAAAATGGTCAGTATCCAGGGGCCTTAAAATGTAATTATCCTGTTTAAACTCTGTACCACAGAGGTCAAATATCGGAAGTCCAAATTTAAAACAAATGAGTTACGTTCATAATCAAAATAGTCATGTAATGATCTTTTTAGAGGTATTTTAACTTATGTCCAGTGTTTCATTAATGCATAGATAGCAGTGGTATATTAAGGTAAGTCCATATATTTTTGTTTTGTCTCCCCTGTAAAATTTGCTTTTTGTGACTTGCGTTTTTTGACATCTGTAGTACAGAACTAAGCATTAAAGTTAAAGGGAAAAGGCCTGGTTTTAAAAGCTTAAAAAGTGTAAACTTTAAGAATACTTTACGAACGAAATATTAATTTATTGTTTCGGAACATTAGTATAATATGCCTTTTCAAGAATAATTTAAAAAGCATTAATAAAAATATTTTGGACAGATCATATTATTTAGTTTAGTATTATTATTAATTAAAGGACACATTTTTATTATTCCTATATTTTTCGAAAAAAACTGTTATAACTAAAAGTTTAGAACCATTACAATTATGGATTGCAGCTACAAAGAGTACCCAAAGAAGGAAACCTACCAGACTAAGCAGATTATGTCGAAATAATTTTCAAAATCCAGACCTCCTACTAAAAGATAAATGTCTAGGTATCCGAAAATCATCAGCTGTGCCAACAACTGAATGTAGTGCCAAAATTCCAGTAAAAACCATACTATTAAACATATTGAAATACTATATCCAAGTAAGCATCAGTTAATGAACTATTTTACGTTAATATATTTTCAGATATACAAGAAAAAAATAATCGCCATTGTCAATTATTTGCTGAAATAAAACTAGAGTATTAATTAATTGATGAAAAGAAACCAAATTGCATTAACATGCTATCAACTGTAAAAGAACCCGAATGCAACGCTGAAGAAATAGAATATGCTAGAAGTAATACAACGGCTGAAGATAACTATACACATAAAACAATAATAAATTCAACTCTCGAAAATGATAATTCTAATAAACCAAAATATAATAGGTACCTATAAATTGTATTATAAAATGTTAAACTTATAAATCTATAATTATGAAAATTAACATTTGTAATTTTAATTTAATTTATATGTTAAGAAATAGTTTTAAAGAAGGTCTGCCAATGCCTGACGAAGTCAAAAAGCTTGAAGAATTGACTAGCACGGTATGTTAACGAAAATAAGTACTGCTATAATATTATATTACTAATTATATTATAAATTAATTTAAAAACAAAATTTTAGTTAAATTTAATTATTATTTTTAGATTTTATTTCAATCATTTTCCTGCAAAATCTTTGAAAAAGTCAAAAAGAAGACAAATAACACTAAAGAAATTTATTTAGAACATTTTAAGTGTCTAAATAAAGAAGTTGTACAGATAATTGCTAAAAAAGTCTTTAATGATGATTGTCCAGGTATTCGCGAGAGTGATAAAGAATATTCTGAAGAAAATTTGCAGAATTCAAAAATTGATATTAGTACCTTACGCACGATTCAATTCATTCTTAAGTAATCACAGATAAATAAACATTTCATTTTATAATTTTTAAGTGTTAATATTATATTAAGTTCAAGGCGTCTAAAGCGGAAGCTGTACTTTATGTTTAAAACAACTAAATGTAATTCTTTAACAAATATTAGTGTGGTTACTAATTTTATAATTTAGTTTCTCGGAAAACGCCAAATTTGAATTGTAAATAATAAATACTATATAATACAATAAGTACATATAATTGTTCCATATATGAAACATTGTGCAGTAAAGTGTTAAGATTTTTTATATTTTGATTTATACTTAAAATTATATTTTTATTTTAAAGATTTTCATGGGTTTAATAAACTAAAAAGAATACAAATTCCTAATTATAAATTACTGTGTAATACAAATTATCCCAGTCTGGGTCGAACTTATAAATTATTTTTAAATCAGTTTGGTCAAATTGGTCTTATGGTAAAAAATATTGAGGTTTATTTGTTTATTGTTAATTTAATTTTTTTAAATAAAATATTTAGCTTACATACAAATTTAACAATACAATTAAATTAGGTAGTACAATGTGTAATTAAAACACCAACAATAATCAAACAAATTCGATAAAAACGTTAAATAGGAAGCCCAACATCGGATAAAAGAGAATGAATAGATTAATAATTGTTATTATATACATTTTAACAATGTTTAAACTATTAAAATTGATTCTTAGCTGATTGTCGATATTTAACATTTTTCTATTTTAAATCCCGAGTAATAATAATAAATAAAAACCTACAAGTCACGTGTTTATTTGTTTTTACTATTGACACAGTTATAAATTGTATAGTCGTAAAATGCGAGGCGCGTAACAGTTCCTACGCTTTTAATTATTTTTCTTACATTTTTTTTGACAATAAATAATGTAATATTATACAATTTTGATTGTATAAGCTTTTATTTAAAACAATTAAACTGTTAGGTTTTGTAGATAATCGATTGTTTGATTAATTATTTAACTTGATAAAACTTATTGTTTTTATTGATGTTTTATTATATTATACTAATTGTACTTATTATGAATACACTATTATTATTTCAGGAAGAAAATACTATACAATAATAATATTAATTATATTGCGTATTACGTATTATTTGTTGTTTTGTTAAATGATGGAGCTTTTTAAATCAATATTTTCGATACTATCACGTTTATGTGCTCAATATTTATTTTGTGACCGATATCAGATATGAATTATGATATAAAATACGAACTCTATATTGTCATAGGATAACTGATAACATATATACCTACATTTCATTGCTTTGAAACGTTTTAGAAATGCATTTAAAACGTTAAATAACTTCTATAGATAACGAAATGTGTACCTAAACTATGTTGACAAAACATTTTTATAACACAAATAAAATGGTGTGTTACTTCACATCTTACTTATGCGTATGTTAATTTAGAAAATTATCAGGTATATTAAGTTTATCAAAGGTTGTAATAAATATAAATTTGGTTTAATTTTATTTATACTACGTATAAAATCATTTTATATTATCAAAATTCTAAAATTATGATATTGCAATTCCAGTTTGTCTTATCGAGATTTTTTTAGATTTTTAAACGAACCGCAAGATTAGAGTTATGTACTTATTTATAGAATCTCCCGACTTTTTTGCATTCTCTCCTTGATGTTTCTTTATTTAATTCAATTTAAGTTGAATTCTATGTTGCCAAAGCTTTCACTAGGTTGCGTAGATTATTTGGTAATGAAAAGGACAAGAATGTATGACATATATCATGATCACGTCTTGCCATGTCAAAAGCTTTAGCTAAAAAAACTTGCATGACTACACAACGGTTATTTCTTTTTTTCTATTGCCAATCTTAGAAATCATACAATTTTTTTTATAATGTTAAATAGTAATAGTTTAAAAATTTAGGATTTTACCAAAAAATGCTAATGAAACTTATCATGCGACTTGTCGGCCTCATACATACCACGCGCACAAAAAAAATCAGAGCTTTAATAACTACAATAGTAATTTATCAAATATTTACTATCATTACAGTTCCTAGACCACTATGCACTATTTACAAGGAAGAAGTGAGACAATAAATATGTATAATATATTTGTTTAACTTATATGTCTTTATATTTATTTATTTATTACAACACAGATACAACTGTACAAGTGTCCAAAACAATAATGTATACATTATACAGTGATAACATGCTATTAAAATGAACCTAATGGACTATATGACATATAACAAGTTACAAGAGGTATCCTCAATAGCAGTACGCATAAGATGATAAATTGGCGAATAAAGGGAATAGTTAGTGGATAAAAAAGGAACAACAAAAGGAGAAATACATTGAGTTAGGCGTGAAGGAACCAGATAAAAGTTTAGATTAATCTCACGGCGACGACCAAAAAGGCTTAGAAGTTGTAGTAGATTTTTAACTGCAGAATAATCGACAAGAGACCTTAAGAATAAATCCTCCAAAGTGAAAGAACTTGCGTTGTACTCTTTCCATCATTAAACAATCCCCAGATGTGTATAGGTTCCATATAGGTGAGCTATACTCTAAAATTGGGTGACCGGGGAACAATAAAGCCTTTTCAGAGTTTTCGAAAGCTTGAAATCGCGAGCTACGCTCTCTTGACAAACACTAGAATATATAAAGATTTGCAGCACATTTCTTCAATGTGTGGTCAAAATCTTAATTAAGGAGAAAACCTTTAACCAAGATCAAGAACAGATTTAGGGACAAAAGAAATAACGTTAATCACATATGCAGTAGCTATACCTACATCAGGCCGGACGGAAAAAGACATAGTGACATTTAGAAATATTAAAAAATATGAGTTTAATTGTAAATATTTTTAGTTTTATTGATTCAAACGAGTTTTATCATTATAAATTCTAAATCTACTGCTATGATATACAATTTAATGTGAAAACGGATAACAATTGTTTTACGTCTTAGAACCATTAAAGGCGATTACAGTTTTCCCGACATTACAGGAGGAAATGCAATAATAGTCTAATAAAAAAAAGATTAACCATAAAAACTTTTCATTGGCATATAATTAAAAGTACATACAAATTTTAGTTTTCATTTAAAATTGCCTTTACCAAACCTTTTATTAATCTTAACAAATTCTCGGTAGTGGCGTTCTTTTAATAATATCATCAAACTCTTTAAAAGTACAACTAATTAGTTATTTATTTTATTTTTAATAATTTTATTTAATTTTACTCTATTTTCAATCAGAATAAATGAAAACCCTTTATTTAAAAATATTAACATGTTTGTTAAAAAATCGTGTAATATTTAATTAAGTAAGTCGTTAAGTCAAAACTTTTTTTCGCTGTTATTACATTTATTTCAAATTATCAACTTATTTAAATTATATTTAACATATAACTGTCTAATGTCCAATTTTCATTAACTCGTTATACGTATAAATATTTGTCATTTTGTCAAGTAATGTATACGAATTAATAAAAACTTTTGGATAGTATATTTCTTACTATTTTGTTTTACATTGAAAAGTTTTAAGAATATAAAAATTAAGAAATAAGACAATAATATAAGACATCGAAAACAAACAAAGAATAATTAACAATTTGTATAAGCAAACACATAAATACTGATATCAGTTATGTATCAATATTATATATTTGTACTAACAATAAAATATTATCGAGAGTGAGAGAGAGCCATACAATTGATAATATTATTTTTTTACCATTATATTATGGTTTATATAAGCGATTAACACATTTGGAAATAGTATCAATAATATAACATTATTAAAAAAAAAGTGTTTTCATAAAAAGTCTTGGTAATTAATTAAAATTATAAAAACACAAACAAACAAAAGTCACACACTTACTAATTAGGTAGGTACAATGATAAAATGTGAAGTCTTTGGTTATGATAAAAATTACGGATACACAAAGTCTCACTATTAATAATTGGGGAGGAGGGGCGGCACCACACTTTATTTTTTTCATATTATATATATTTCATAATATTATTTTTATATATGGGTTATATAATTAATGTATATATACACGTATAATTAGTATAGTAATTAAAACCATCGAGGACAACTTTCTTTTTATATCAATAATCAATACTTGGACTAACAAACAATAATTGAATAGGAATATGATGGGAATCCTCGAAAAAGACAACTGAAACAAAATAACAATTTGTTCAATACAACTATAACTAGGAGTCACGCAATTAGGTGTAATGAGTACGATCATGACAAATGAGATTTTGAAACTGATCTGTTTTATAAAATTATGTATAATAAATAATATTGTTGTTAATTTTCTTTTTTTTATCAAACCACAAAAAAACCAAATTAAATCGGGTGGTTTAAATGTGGTAGACTTCTTGGTTGGTAGTCCAGTGAGTAAACGGCTACAGGGAAATGTTTGATATGAGTTTGCCATTGAGATGATAATTGGAAGAATTTTACGCCTCCCCATTCGTAGCCGTCAATTGTGACTTAAAAAAAATATATATATATATATAAATACAAACGATCAGTTAATATAAAAAATTAATACGTATGACACACATACTCGTGAGTGGATAGTGCTGAGTTTTTGGTGAGCAGATAAGCCTAGACACGCTATCAATGACCTGGTTTTTTGGCTCGAGATCTTTTTCTTTTTCCTTTTTTTTGCCTAAACGCATAACTGAAATGAGGTAAAAAAAATGTATAAATAATAATTTATAATATATTATTATAAATAAGCATAGAATAACATTTACTTTTTTGTTTCTTTTCTTTAATGTAGCTGACTGTAAAAAACGCTAGAGGTTCATCATTAGTCAAAAACAGTCTTGAGATATGTAAACTCTTAAAGCCAGTCTTTAATGTAAACTTAGTGTCTATACGTTTACTATTAGCTTCATTGCTTCGTGATGCAACCTCCTTATTGGCATTAGGTACCAGCCAATAATCGAGTTGCAATTCCAGAGGCTCGCACGAATCCCTACAGTAGAAAAGTAATTATTTATTAACAGTACACTTAATTAATAATAAGTAAATATAGATCATAAGATCTATATTTACTATATTTACAGCTATAAAGCTGCATCAATACCAGTTGACTTGTTTGGAATGTGGTGGCATGTATTGAATTCCAATATTGGGCGAGTTGGGTGGTGTAGTCTTATCCATAAGAGACTTGCGGTCAATAATACTTGAAGGCTGATCATCGTTATCCATTAGGCACGTCATGTCACCAGTACAAATTCTTACGTCCTACAAGACAAAATAATTTATTATTTTAATAATATACATGTGCTCCTAAATTACAAAAATAATTACATACATACATACGAGAAGAATTATTTCAAATAAAATAATAATATATAATAAAGACTTATTGTAGACACACTTACATTGACAAATGGTATAAATATCTGTGAAGCTTCGTCATCCGAACTATAAAATTACAAATTAATGTTAATCAATGATATATATTTGACAAGATAATTTTATTTTACCTTTTCTCTTTGTAGGAAAGCATAGCTTCAGCTATTTGCAATTGGATGGTATTTGAAGCTTCCATCAAGTAGTTTTGGATTTTGCTAATTATGTCTAATCCATCACCACATTCCAGTTGCTCCTTCCAGTAATCTTCTTTGAATAGAAACGTTGTACCATAGTAACTATCGACTGTACCCAAATATCTCGAAAGCGTGTTCATTCCTATGCATTCATTAAATATATTTTTGTTACTATTCTACATCTAAGTATTTCTACTAATTGGGGCTCAGACGGTTTATATATTTGGCAGTTTGGAATTTTTATAGCTGGCTGCCGACCTAAGGCTGACCAAACAAGTTTGGCACTCGAGAGACAAAAGGGTCATTTTTTTCCCAATCAATTACAATTTAGGCGGACAAAAGTAATAAAATCCAAAATATAATTAAAAACTTTTTTAGGTTATATCTTATAATACATACATTGCAGTAATTAAATAAGCTAATAAACCTGTTTATTTTATCTAAGATATATGCTATATATATTTCTGTAATCAAAGTTTAATTGCATGGTTTTATTTTGATTTGTTTATTTCCTATTGATGCACAATGACACTACTAAGATATTTTTAAATTCACGGTGTAAAATTTTACAAATTCTACGTCCATTTGTGTTTTTACATTAGTTGTTTTACTTATTTTTGAGGCGCAATTATGATGGTTATAGGACTTAAGAGTTAAAAATTAGACTGATACATATAATATTATTTAAATAAATTTAGTGATCTCTTTATTTTTAAATAATATGTTTTGTCAAACAAGTAATAATTTTGTCCGCCTAAATTGTAATTGGGACCACTGTGCGTCAGTGACTGATATTTGAACTGGCAACCATGCGTTATTACACTGCCGCCTTATCTCACTTAGCCACTCACTTGCTTCTATGTATTAATGAGTAATGACATAAAATGTAATTTTATTGTTATAATTTATAACCATACATTAAATGACTTACCCAACGGCACAATATAAAATTTAATGTAGTTAATCCAATCGGGTGGCTTAAATGACAATTGCTCTACGTACTGTCGTAATACGTAGTTAACAAAACTATCAGAACCGGCCAGCAATAATTTTATTTGATTCGGTGGTTTCGGGTTGGAGTTACAACTAAAAGTCAAAATGTAAATTACCAATCATTTCAATATACTTTTATGATTTTTAATATTTTATTAACAACTTCTTACTATTTCTGTAACTTATTGATAATGTACAAAAAGGAGGCCCGCACGTCAGCAAGCCCAGCTGGCGTTATCACTTTGAAATTATAATTTTGAAGTTTCGTTGCAAGCTGGCCACCTAACGGATGTGTGTAGTGCACTAAACACAAAACTTCTGGAATTTTGTCTTCGGGCGGCAATACTTTAGACAGTTGTTCCATAAGGGCCTTTCTGGGCTGCAATGTTATTAATACACAAATATTAATTTAATAACTCCAGTGTACATAATACTTAAGTAAACAAAACACTCACTTCAGCCATAGAACCGGCATTGTCCACTGAGGTCGAGCCGGCAGAGCTGCCGGATCCTACATTATTCACACGACCATGTTCGCTATCACCGCCGGTAGATTTTGGCATTGGAGATTTCTTATATTTATTCGACGATGAGGTCCGATCCCTAGTGAAGATTCTGGACTTTTTCTCTTTTTCCACGGTGTTTGGTGCCGTTTCCTTAACAGACAATTTTAAGACCATTATTATTTACAAATAATAAATAAATTAGAATACAGAAGTCTTTGGGAGTAAGAAATACTAGGTCAAAAACAGAATAATTATAATTTAAGTTAAGTAATTAGACTTAGTGGAGTAATTAGAGGAGATATATAGGGATAGGTATTGTACGGATGAGACTCGATAATATTAGAGGTAGAATATTAAGTTATTAAGGAATTGAAGAATAAATGGAGAGAATAGAAAATGGCAAAAAGAAAATCGTAGACTGTAGTGAGGCCAGTAATGATTTGTTGAAGTGCGTGTTGGACACTAAATAAGAAGGATGAAAAGAAAATGTACGTCATTGAAATAAGAATGTTATGAATAAATGTGTGAAGTAGGGTAATAAGTTGGATAGAATTAGGAATGAATGATAAAAGATAAATGTTAAGTTTCACACAATCACACTTGTACCATAATTGGTAAGAAATTAAGATAAAAATAGATTAACGGTAAAGAGTGGGTAAGTATTGAGATTGGTGTGAGATAAGACGAATCAGTTGAGCTTTAAGACTTTAAAAAAAATATGGACCTTTTTGTCATCGCTAAAATTGATGGCTGCTTTGGGAGGCGAAGAGTTCATTGGCGTAGGGTCGCTGTCCGTCCATGTATCCAAGTAAGAATCGGAATCGGCTTTCTTCGAACTTTCGTCGCTGAATCTTTCTATGTTGCGTTCCATCGACGGCAATCCTAAGCATATTTATTGCATACAAAAACTGTAATTTTAACGGAACAAATAAATAAAATAAAAATAAGTTAAATTGCCCCAAACCATATTTCAACGTTTGATTAGACAACGAAAGGCAAATACCCATTACTTCAAGTAAACTAAAATGTTAGAAGAAAATCAATAGGACAGGGCATGCTGATAATACGATAAATAACCAAGATGGTTCAGATATAGTATTAATAATGGAAAGTTAAAATATATTTTGATTTAGATATTAAAATTATTATTAAATAGTTTAATTCTGTTATAAAACAAAGGCCGCTCCGGACGGACTAGATGAAGTTCAATGTTAAGTTTTCACGTGTAAAACAATAATAAATGTAAGCTCGTTACTCGTTTTGATTAAGAAAAACACATTGGTTGAGTACAAAATACCGTTTCGAATTCCAACATTTACAAACGAGGATTTACGCATATACTGTAAGTGATATTTTATTTAACACACTGAACAGCTTGAAACGATAGTCGTAAAATGCAATATGCTTGAATTTCCAGCCAGAACATAATATTCTTTATAGATACTCGAAGCACACATATTATTCAACTTTATTATTTTAGAAATTTAGAAAAACGAAAATAAAATAAAATAAAATTATTCTTCTTAAATAATATAAATATTATATCTTTGTCCGAATAGAAGCATGCGATGATTGTATGAAATATAAATTATTTTCATGACTGGATAGTCTTACATTATAAATAATATAATGTAAGAATACTGGGCATGGATGTTTTTACCATATGTATTTTCACCAATTACCTTTTATTTTAACCGTTTGACTTAATTATAAGAAGTCCAACACCAAAAAACAAAAACAACAATGTTACACAATTCAGTTATATCGAGTGTTATGAACGAGGCTGCTAATTCCTATTTTTCTTGTACACTGTGTAACAACGTAGCTGTACACCGTACTATTATGTGGAAAAACGTGAAATTTTCCCTACTACCAAAATGTTGTCCTCTGTACGTCTAATGTTCAATTTTTTTGGGCGCCACTTTGGTTATGTAGGTTAGATTTAAATAAACGATAAAGACGTGGTCTAAAAGGGTTCAAAAAAAAAAATACACTTAAAGTTATCTAGAATATCTTATATTAAAAATTAAACGTATGCAGTTGACCAGAAAATGTATTTCACACAATGTTGTTACTATTGTTACAGCGATAAGGTGAAAAAAAATCCCCCTTCCAAAAAAAAAAAGAAAGAAAATTGATGTCGCGTGACATGAGCATGACCTATTTTTTCTACTCTATAATCGTTTCCTCATAATAAACACTCCTCGGACTTGGCGAACAATATTTATATAAAGAACAAAGTATAAAAGTTTTGTTAGAAGAAAAGAAAAATACTTAAGCGCTCGAGTATAGTGAAATTCCGAAAGTTTCTTAGGTTTTAGCGAACCACATAACTTTTTAAACGTGTAGGCTTTACATAACATTACCTATACTCGTTTTATGCGCTTTCAGCTCTGTGTTATGTACATGCATTATGTAACAGGGCTTTTTTAAAATTAATTCAAAGGCAATTGGATTGCCATGTGGGCGGAGTCAAAGAGCTTCTAAACCACGCATCATTATAGGATTAAACGTCAAACACTGAGCCGATATTATTACTTTACACGGCATCCGCCAACAATGCGAGAAGGTTATGGTGCGTGGGAAACCTAACTAGAGAGAGGCGGAGGTGTTGCTTAAATTAGAAATGTTCACGAAAATATTATTACTATTATCCTCATCAGGTGGTCGGCAATCAAACACGACCGATTAGGTAATATACCGCAAATTATGATTTATATTGATTTGCGACCGGTGCTCGAAAATTCGCATTCAATTAACTTTGGCCGAATTCGATTTCGGGGCATTACAGTTGAACTTTTGTTTCCAATACCGCGTGGGATTCGCCTAATTAATTATAAAAGCCATCAAACAACCCGTTTAAATATATTCAGCCGAATTAAACACCACAGCCGTTACCCTATGATTTCGTGGCACACTGATTAAAGCTTAAAATAATTTGCCAACAAATAAACCAACTGACATTCGAACTGTCAACCCATTGCCGATAAACGATGGTTATGTGAATATAAATCTCCGACAAAAACCTTAAAGTGAAAAAGGGCCAAATGCCAGACACCTCCCAATAAAGTCAGCCTATCAAAGTATTTCTTTAGTACGTAACCTCATTTCACTCCTACTTTTATGAGCAACACTGCTCTTTTATTTGTATTGTTTATCACTTGGCCAGTTTTTGAATGAAAACTTTTGAATGAGGCATGAACCAGACTTGGCCGCAATGTAGATACCACTACTTTGATTGGCTGACTTTTTTGGGAGGGGATCTGAACCTTTTTTCTTTTCTTCTGAGTTATCTATTCATATCGCCCACGTAACTCCTAAGTGAGTAAATTTGATAATGATGTTTTATGCTTCATTCAAAAACTGGCCAAGTGTTAAGCAATACAAATAAAAGAGCAGTGTTGCTCATGAAAGTAGGAGTGAAATGAGGTTACGTACTGAGAAATACAGACTTGACCACAATGTAGATATCACTGCTTCGCGACGTGTTAATTTTTTACGAGCCATTGGTGGGAGCATTCTGAACATTGGGAATAATTTATTGTTACAAAAGCGGCACTTGCAATTTTCTTTATACTTAGAACGAACGAACGAATTCACCGACAAAGAATAACACGGGTATAGAGTATATAGACTATTATTACGATTATTAAAATATGATGACCGATAAATTAAATAAGATACAATAAAATTACGAAAACCTTATGTTTGATAAGTATTTACCGTTAATTACAAACAATTACTTTTTGCCACATTGTAACACTAAAAGAGAACGTTTGTTTAGACGGCGTGGGAATCTGAGATTAATTAATAAAAACCCGTGTTAATCTAATCAAGCAATATATATTCATGAGCGTCGCATCATGCATTAAGAACTACACTCCCTAAAGCGGCATTAAAATTGCAACTTTCAGATTTTTCCCATTAGTAACACTATAAGACCTGCCTTTGTGCCAAATTTCACGTTTCTACCTAAACAGGAAGTGTTTGATAGTTTTGACGATGAGTGAGTGAGTAAGGAAAATGAAAACTTTGAAATTCTCCCCTTTTGAAAAGGCTCACTATTAAGGGCTCAAATGTTTACAGTATCCTAAGCTGCTCGAGCTTAATCTATGTTTCAAATTTCAAAAGCTTATCTTAAGAGGAAACAGAGATATGTGGGTTAGAAAAACTGGATGAATTGGTTCGTGTAAACACTGACATTGCTGGAACTTGAAAGAAATTTAACATTGCACAGGCTGGTGACTTGTACTTGAACAGTATTCAAAATATAAGATGGTAGAATTAATACATTTATAAAAGATTTGTACACACGTTTTGTCTACATGTACCAATTAGTTAAATCGTCATGAGTACTCCAGCCATCTTCTGATTACCATGGACCAATTATTAGGTTTTTTTTTTATTATAAACGGTTTTACAGTTAAAATATAATGAACGAAGTCCCTATTCTTTATGGCACGTCCGTAGGTAATCACTTTTTTCTAATTATCTGTAAAAAAAACGGAAATGGCATTTTCTACTTCAAAATAGGAAAAAGAGCTGTAACTTCTATGTTGTGCTTAAAGGATTTAACAAATACATGCGATAATTGAAAAAAGTAATAAAATAGAGTTAGTGGATTAGAATTCGGCAAAATAGGATCGACGAGACCACTTACTTAACTACAGGTTTTGCTAGAATACGTTATTTTTGTTTGTTTTGAACATGGTTAAAACAGTTAAAAAAATATATTTATCTTTAATAATACATTTGAAAGTGATAATCTCATTTCAATAGAAAACACTCGTCGTTACATAATCGTGAATAGTGTTACAAGTATATGAAATTAGTACACATATGTATCATAAATTAAATGTGTACCGCTGCTTTGAAGTTATACTCCCATCAACAATTCTCACTATTTTAATTTCCATACAAACTTAACTAGACAAGCTGTTAATGTAAAACTTTAGAGCAATAAAACAATTAAAATTTTTACTCACGATTTAAAAAATAATAATAGTGGGTATACAGGTTTTTTACAGGGTTTTACTAATTACAATATCTCCTAAAGAAATTGAGATTTGTTTAACATTATTTTTCTACAAAATAACTCATCAGACTAAAATTACCAATATTTACTCTTGGGAAAAATTGTTTAGTACAAAAATGAAAATACATTTTATAAAGTAAGTTAGGTAGGTAATAACTCGAAAAATTATTTATTCAAAACTTGTTCGAGCATGCCAACATATTTACGGGAGTTAATTTATACTAGCTTTAAGGTATTATTGTTAACGAATAAAATGTTTTATATTATATAGCATTTTTGGAAATAAAAAATAATTTAATAAGAAATACATAGACGCTATCCGGTTTTGAGATTTTTTTTTTAATTGATAAAATGATACTTTTTAACTGTCCGTATTGACATCCGATTTCAGCTTCAATTCCTAAAATTGACAAATTTAATTAATGAAAACTGGAGGTTTTTATGTGGATTGTTTTCCTATTTCAAACAATCAAAAATAGATACTCCACTATAGGGATGACCATTCTTTGGGACGTCTACTTTTGATACTTTTGAAAATGTACTAATCACATAAGATCTCTAATGAAAAATAACTTAATAAAGGGCGATGCAAAAATAAATATAATTCTTTTCTGGAAGGTAAGGCACTGGATAATGTTATTGGATATTTTTTAAGCTATATAGCGCCTTTGACTCTACACAATATACACTAATTCATATCCTTTTGCCTGTCTTCTGCAACAAAAGCGTCACAAATATACCATAAGACATATTCATGTCAAAAACATATATAAATTACCAAAATTGTTTAGCTATGCATCGAAGCTTAAAATATAAATGTATACACGCATTGTTCAATTAGTTACATATATATTATATACACGATACTAGGGTTTTGCAATTACACAGGTCATGAGGGTCTGTCGCATTTGAACGAACACGAGCATAGTTCATTCACCTATCCCTATTATGACTATACACCATTTGATATGACGTCACAACTGACACATAAAATATTTTTGACCCTGTCGGACTTTCAAGTCCATGTGACGATTTTCACATAATCTAACCCATTCGGTGTTATATTGAAGTGGTCAATGTTTGGAAAGTTAATTGCTCGGTTGGACCTTGGGATGTTTGTCTAGAAAATATTTTACATCTGAACAGCGAATCAAACAGAAACCTCAAATCATATATCTGATGAACGCAATTTATTGATTTTCATATTATATTATCAACATTATCTTGCGGTTGAAGTTTGTTCGATTTAAATAACTGTCGTTGTTTAGGTACTGCCATGCGTTTGTTTAGTTTAGTGGTTGTTTAAAAAAAAGCGCATGGGACAATTTGTATAGTTAATTTATTTATAGTACAGAGAGCTGATTGAAAATTCTATAGTTTAAAGAATATTTTATTAAACCATATAACACATATATATTATTTCAGCTATTAATGCTATGCGATATCAGTACATGTGTTCACTAAAATTAATAATTGTATTTTTTGAGCTGTTAAATTTATAATAAAGGCTATAAAAATAAAAATAATTGTATTATAAAAAAAACGGACACATAACTTAATACCCTCAATAATTTAAAACCGCAACAGTCACCCAGCCATCCAAGGTTACTAAATATGTATAAAGCATAGTAAATACATTAAAAGCCCCAAGCCTCCAAAGAACGTGCAAGTGCAGTTTAGATTATTTGTCTATATAGTCAAGAATAAAAACCAAATCCAATTACATATAGAACATTAATAATAATAATAATGGTACAATTAATGCATAAGGATATATTAGGTAGAGGTGTTAAATACGAAAGTTAACAAAAATAATAAAAGTTATACTTAAGAAAATGGTATGTTAGTGTATTATTATTATAACATTTTGTATTATGCGTGGAGTAAAAGAAGAAAATGTAAATATAATAACATAATATGATACTTTTGTGTCGTTTTTTAACAACCGGTTAGATTTTTTCAAATTAGGATTTTTTTCAGTGGTGCTAACCTTTCTTTCTGTTGGGCGGAAAACTCGTGGTGTGACTTTTCTTATGGGAATGTCGTCCTAATGACAGATCGTACAAATAAAAAAATAACAATTATAATATTAGCTTATTCTATATACACACATATTATAATATTTTAATTAATATTAATAATATTATTAATTTAAACGTAATATTCAAAACATTAAATGTCAGGCGTCGTGGCCGAGAGGGTTACCGCAGTAGTGTTTCTACGCACTTGCCGTGGTTCGAATCTCGGTCGCTGGCCGTTTCTCTAGCTGGGCGGGCAACCGTCTAGAGAGAGAAATGGCCATCCAACTGGTGCGGAAACCACCACCGCACCATAACCACATCCCAGGATGGCAACTCTTGTCTCCAGTAGAGCAAGAGTTGTCCCACCGACCTAACAGGACGTAGACTTATTAGGTGTTCAAATAAATTATCGAATCGATTTGTTATCTTTTTTTTCTCTTATTATCTTACAATTTCTAGATAATCAAAAATCACAATGAGTGTACGTGTGCATCTATACCCAAACAAAATAGAAATTAACGCGGTCAATGTATACAACAGTGTATATAACTTAAAAAAATAAAAAATAATAATTATTATAAGCGGAAAATGGAGGAGAGGTGCTCTAAAAAGTTGTAGCCTTATGTACAGTTACTGTACATCCATAAAGTTCCGTATTACCATTTTTTATTTTGATAAGGCCATGATATTACAATTTGGGAAAGGATGTATCTTTTTAAGTTTTGAATATTCAATCAATTTCATTTTGTGTTCAAAACTAAATTGTTTAAAACTGATAAAAAAAACATATTCAGTGGTGTCTCTCGTTGTCTTGACATATCGCAAATATGTTTCAAAAGTGACACAAGTAAAACTGAATGCTTTGAGAAAATTGCGAAAAACTGTTCAGCGAGCTTAACAAAGGGCATTTATAGCTAATATTTTTTCCAAATTGTATAAGCACTAGAAAAAAATGATTCAATATAGTTGCATTCTTCGAAGACTCTTAACCCAAGTCTTACCATAATGATAACTAAAGATAAAGATTTTTTGACTTGATTGACTGTTGAAACACATGTACGATATTATAAATACTGTATTATTCTTCATCTTTTACATGCAATCGAATTTGGCCGCTTTAAGGTTAAAAACCACACATTTTTCTATCCTGATATTTGTTGTATACAATTTTACACAATCTTTACTTCTAACAGCCTCCTACTTTTTCAGTTTGTTTATTCGTATAAAACCTTAATTTTCCTATTATTCTGTTATTGGCTAAGTACATTCAAACAACTTTAAATTGTTATAGATTATTTTTTATTTAATCAAATCTAGTCCACTTGGTACTCCATATTTCAGTTAACTTTCTCGCAAATAACTCAACTGAAACTATATAGGCTGAGTTAATAATACATAATATTATATATACTAACGATAAAATATCCATAGTTTATTTTATTTTTTTGTAAATGTACATATAAACATAAGAAATGAAACAAATAAAAAATAACCATAGAGAAAAATAAGTATAAAATATACAATTAAAACAATAACCTATTAATCAAAACGTTGTCTAAACTACAAAACAAATATTTGCCATACTTTAAGTCGTTCACTCTATAAACTTACAAGTTTTAAAATATATTACATTGTGCGTTAAAAAAAAGTGTACACTACGCATGGTAGAGCTAAAAGCTTGTTTAAAGTTACCAATTATTAGGCTTAAACCTATTTTTCAGTACAAACTCTGGTTATTTGGCTTGGCGATTAATCTATTTTTAAAATATGTGTAATATCCATGTTGACGTTGCCAAAGCGTTTTGTAAATTTATACATATAGCCCAGACGATTATGTGAAAACTTTAAAGCTACATGGATTAAGGTTTTTTAGCGATCTAACTGTTGAAAACGGTTAAGGTGTACTAAGGCTAAGGTGTATTGGTGCTCTCTACTGAAAAACTATTGATCCCCGTTATAATATATATGCTTTTAAATTACACAGTTAATGGTAATTCTTGGCACTGGAATACTGGAATTTCTTAACCCCTCTGTTAAATAACCTCTATAATCATAAATCGAAATTGGATACCGCGTTTAGCGTTCTACGGCGTTCATTGTGAGTATTATATCATCATACCACATATAATTTGGAAATCCGGTTTTAAGTGGCCTAAAAAGTAAAGGCGCTTCAACGAAACAGTCCGATTTTTAACATTAGAGAAGTATTTTAATAATAATAATGGTACCTAATAATAAAAAGCAATTTTCTAATTGCATATATCTATTTTTATATACACGCATATTAATAATTAAAAAAAACAAACGTAGCGGATGTACTGTTGTTTTTGTTGTAAGATATTTTTGCCCGGGGAAAATGATGCCAAAAGCTTTACACTCACGCTTCTCGAGCGCGATTTAAGCAATTGCAAAAGATAAATTTTGGATGGTCGCCACGCATATCAGACGTAGACCGCGAAAACTGCGGTTTGAACGAATAACCAAAAAATGAAGACAGTAATAATATTAATAATAATTATAATGAAAAAAAGACTACTGTAAAGGTTGAATCAAAACGTCAGATGAAAAACGGTATATGCATTATAGGCATATGGCGTTTTGTTGAACTATAAAAATAAGAAAACCCGATATTAGCTTAAGACGTGCTCTGATACGAACCTGAAAGCCCTTCATGAATCATGTTCGTGCGGGAACTGGAGAAGAACGGGCGGAGCGACGGTTTGGGAGTGGATAGGATGGACAGTGTATCTAGGTCTGGTCCGGAGTCGCTCATGTCTTCCAATTCTTCAAAGAGATCTTCGATGTCGGCTGGATCCATATCTCCGCCTGTCGAACATAAGCAAAACACGAATTAAATTTTATTAATGAAATCAACAATGTGTTTATAGCTCTTAATACCCGACAGTTTTTGACTTATCGTTTCTCGACCGTTTTCCAGAGATTGTAAGTCTTCGTTCACTCTGAATCGCTTCAGGAGCGCTATGAATTTTTGCTTGAGGTTCCTTTGCTGTTAATCAGATACAGCCAAATCAAATATACATACAGCCAAGTTGACACAATCATTGTTTTTTCGTACCACGACGAACGTGGCGCTGAAGTAGACGAAAAATAATAAAATCTAAAAATTACCCTGGCGTTTCCGGTGGTGATATTCTTTTTACGTCGCCTGTCCTCTAACGTAGGATCCGAGTCCGAGGCTTCCTCGCCGCTACTGAACTCCTCGTCTTCGTCAGAGTAATCGTTGCCTCTACCTAGGTAAGCCGATCGCCGGAAATAGGATTATAATACATAGAAACCTCGTAACGGTTCTTACCCGTCACTGCTTTAGTAACGCCTTCGTGGTCGACGGGTTGACTGTTTAAGCACACGATGTTCACTCGACCGACCAGAGACTTGGGATCCTTGGGATCGCCGAGCAGTTCCAGTTCGAGATCAAGAGGTCTTTGCAGCACCTAATATTTGCACAATTTGCACATAGTCAATCTTCTAAAACGCTAATTATCTACTATTGTATTTTCATGTCCGTACCAATCATAACCTAGATTATATCCTGTTGGAACCACACTTTACTTAATCATTCCTTATTTTGTTCTCTTTCGTCATACCAATATATTCACAATAATATTTGTACTCCAGTTACTCTCGACTTTGATATATTTTGTTAACCATTGCTTGGAATTCCGATTCATACAGTAAAAATCAGTCCTATTAACTTATACCGGTCAGTTTGATTGGTATTTGTTTATCAGACAACTCTTTTAACATCTCTCTCTACTTCCACCCACATTCTATGCGTCACACATCTTTCTCGGAGCCACCTTTTTTGTAACATCGGTACTAAATATTTGAACATAACAGCTCTTCTTTCAATATACATCCTTTTCATCTACATTCAAACTTTGCTTTACTTCATCATCGTGCGTTAATTATAGTAATGACAGTAATAGTTGAGTAATGTTACATACGAGCGCCATGTTGATCACCCCTTCGGCTAATGTCTTGTAACCGAGTATGGTGCGATTTTTGTACTTTTTGCGACGTTGAAGCATAACGTGCAACATGTTGACGTCTCTTTTTAAAAAATGCGGATACTGAAAAAAAAAATTGATGCCGTGTCATTGATTATCATTAATTACTAAGATTTCAAGAATACCTGAAGACAAAAGTTCAGTTGTAGTTCCATTTCCGACAACCCACTGGCGGTCAACGGCAATTCATTGGTGCGAAGAGTCCTCTTCGAACCCTATTAAAGCCATTATAGATATGCATTACAGATTATAGGTACCGTAAAACAAGTAGCCGAGACCAGCTATACATCATGATTAGACTATTTTACATAGTTACAGGACATTAGGTCTAAAAAGACCAAAATTCAATTTTTGGTAAAAATAGGTTGGATATATGAAACCCCTTTATACTGTATACAAAATGCTCTTTTAGAACGTAAATTGAGAAGTATGAAGTTAATAAAAATAAAATTTTTGAAGCTAATTTTCCTAATTTTCAAGTTAGAAAGACATACGATTAGTCTAAAGACTCTTTAGACCAAAGGTCCAGATGCATAATATATATTAATTATTATTATTTATTATTTTATGACCCTCATTACTATTGACGATTGTTAATTACTCACGTGCATTTTCACCGCTATGGTCAACGTTGACATCTCCAAACCCAGCGGTTTGGTCAGCACGAGTTTGGTCAAGTTCATCGAGCACACCCTGTAACAACGTTTAAAGCCGAACACATGATTCAGTTGATCCATACTGTCGAAGTAGTGGTGGGCTGGGTCAATAGCTCTATATTCTACTATATTTAATTGTTGTTATTAAAATGAACCGGAAACCGATTGCATAGTTTTGGCTTGAGGAGGATCCGCTGTCGTTTCCGGCGCAAGAACACAATTTTTTTTTACACGATAAAAGTAATTGATGAAAATGTAAATAATAAAATCGTTTTGCTATTATTTATACCTAAAAAAAAATGTCTACTTGTCCGGTCGTTAAGGCCAAAGTCAACAATGTGGACTACTTGACGGATTCTATGGCGACAGCAGTTTAAGAAGGACTTAACGCAAATCAATTAACAATAATAAGAATAATAATTGAAATTAACCAGTTCCGTAATTATAATAATAATGTCTCTTATAAGAATTTACAAGATATCGACAGCAGCACTTGTAAAAATAATAATAATTACAGTTGGATAATTTAAACGCTTGCTTTTATCGCCGATTAGTGTCCCACAAAATATATTAGATTTACTCAAATATCATAACACCGACGGTTGGTTTTTAAATAATATAATTACGTATACAGCGAACACATACGAACGAGGCTTGTACTTTTATACACGCCATAAATGTGTAATTTTAGAACTCAGAACGAACTCCTTTTCCGTCTATTATTAAATACTTCTATACGTGGGGCGAAACTCTTAAACTTCTCAAAGCATTTGCTAGCTGAAGAATTAAACTGTGGTTGATCAGACTACTTTATTTATTTATAAATTACACTCTGTAACGGTAAAATGAGTACAGGGAGACTACCTGATTAGAAACCATGTAACAAAAACTTAAAACGTCATTAGATCCTAAACGGTAATCCGAAAAACAAAAAACTGTTTTTCTTACCGTAACCCAAAACCCGATAACTTCAGGTCTTACCTAATATGCATTAGTAACGCCGAAAATTAAAAATTTCTAATTAAACCCGTGCTTAAAAAGAAAAATCTATACTTGTTAACTTCAAATGTTTAATAATAAAGATACACATAATAAAATTCAATGCTAATTTAAAACGAACTTAAACTTACTCTTAAAGTAAAACAAACGTTTAAAATGCACTTTTAATTGTTTACATTTTCTAACACCGAGAAGTACACATTTTCACATAAGGCAGTTTATACTTTTTTTCTCACCGAAGGTTTTATTTCTTTTGTAATTATTATCATAAAATACTGATATTTTTTTTGGGGTCGTCCATACTAAAGTTACTTTTTATAATAAATATTTAAATATAAAAAAATACAAAAATGAGACTATTTCCTTTCCCTGAAATGGTTTTTATGGAATGTTTAAAAATTTTGCTATTTTAAGATAATTTGCAAATTATATGAGCGTCGAGATTAAGAACGGTTATTTGTAATAAAACTATATATATATATATATATAATCAATAGATATAAATATTTATTATATAATATATTGTATACTGTATACGACGTTTTATTCCGATTTGATACCTACACCCAGGGTAGTAGTCGTCTCTCGGCGTGCACGTGTGTAGCCTAAGTATAGCCTCGTTTAAATAATTCTAAATGACACGAGTTAACATATTTTCAGACGCGGGTAAGTAATAATTTATAGAGAAGGGAGCGACCTAACCTGATATTCATCTTTACAAATTATTTAAGCTCTCCTAATTAGTATGTTTTGTGCAATCAACCTAGGATAGGTAGACTAAATATAAGTAAAAACTCATTTCATTTTAAGTTATACATCCTCATCCTGTGAGCACTGAGCTTTAATGACAGAACTGTTTAAAAAGTAAATATTAAAATTCTATTAAAAGTACCCGAGATCAAAGAGTGGGATTCTTAGGAGTTTTAACCCCATCTCTGTATTGGCGTCTACATATTATTTAGAATCTACTCTATGTACCTATACAAATCTTTTAACTTCTCGTTAGCATACATCCTGTATGCATCTACGGCAAAGCGTGACATTTTTTGAAACGTGGATTTTTTTTTATCTCGGTGCGTGTGAAGGTTGACGTTCTATCATTCAAGTATTGGTTCAATAACAATATTATTAGGAAATAATATATATTTTATAATATGTTGTGAAATGCTCGATGTTTTAGAAAATCAATACTATGTGTTATTTACATCAATGCAACAACACACAATTGACATATATCGAGTATAGGTGAGTTGATTTTGGCGTCAAATAGAATCGTGAGACGCAGATTAATTATGTATCAAATGCGTCGTAGGCTCGAGTTTTATGTTGCGGTTACAACTCATAGAAGTAGAACGTTGCGGTCAGCACAAAATAATTTGCCAATTTCTAGATGAAATTATGCATAAATCTCAACTATTACTATGTTTTTTGTGATGGAATGCTACTGAGAAAATTTCACATGAATACACAAATCCTAGAAAGAAAAGAAGTTTAAAACAGTACCATGTATACCTAGTATTGAGTATGGGTAGATGCCTATCCCATGGGGCGATTAAATGACAGGGTGAAAATTAACATATATTCATGAGTTATTTGCCTATAGCTTGATCCTCTCGCGTTTCTATGATAAGGCTTAGAACGAGAAAGCGTTCCTCGTGGATCGATTACACAGTTGGTCTCGCGCATTTCAAAATTCCTGGTCTATTCCCACCTTTATTGATCGCATCAATCAATGGTTATTAAAAAAATGGTATTCAGTGTCTACATTGCCAAAAAACATTGATTGCGATAATTTTAATATTGAATAACATGTTAAATAATGCGATAGTTTTTGAAACTAAAATTTTCAATATATATATATAAATATGCATAATCATGATATTATTAGATAGATAGCGTTATATAGTGTACATAGTGTTATATAGTATGGTACTTCATTAACTTAAAACATGCCGTAAAATACCGAAAAACATACCAATTACCGGTGGAACATGTTTTAAGCCTACAACGCAGATACGATATGTTTTTGATTTTCTTAGAACAACAATAGACTTCAATGGAAATCAAGGGAAAAAGATTTTCCCGTATGAGTAGTTTTATAACTATAAAAATAACTATAACTATAGACGGTTTACTTGTACCCACGCAAATCTAGAGTGGAATGAAATACGACTAACAATATGAGTGTGCTGTGTGACAGAAGAGAATACCCATTACATATTATGCTACAATACGCCTGCATCGAATTTTTTTTTTGAGTAGGTAAGGATTGGATGTTATTATTATTGTTGTCTAAAACACGTCATATATACAGATTGCTTTTTCTTAGTCTCGAGTCTGAGTCACCTGATTTCCGTTCGAACGACGATAAATGAGAAACAAGAGATTTGCAAGTTTAATAGCACAATTAAAAATCGCTATTTGACACAGGGTGATATAAACGGCCTTTTAACGTACACAGATAATGGACATCAACATTTTCATGAATACACGTTACGACGTCTTATGTGTACATTATATAGGAATACAGAGCCTCGTGCCTCTTCGAGTGAATGTTCCTCTTATCTATAGTATTCATATCTGACTCTCGAATATAGCTCGTATTTGTCAGCTGAACCACTCCTAAGAATATAATGTTTGCAGTCTGTGTGCTAGTAGGTAGCAAACAAGAACAATAAGTAGCGTTATCGATAAAGTTGTTGTTTACTCTTAGGCATTTTATAATGCAATATGCATTTAAATTATACATTTTTATATAATATATAAACAATAATTATTTTATTTTTCCTAAACTCGGTACGCAGATGCCAGGCCTAATATTATATTATAGGCTACCAATGCTGCGCCATCATCGACGACGCGTTAATACAATATTATTATTATTAATTACGCTATGCGTAAGTAGCGCGCAACACTCTTGGTCGCAAAACTTGTTATTTATCGAATTATAATAACACACAGTAATAAAGATATTATATATTATACTACGCCCATGAAATAATGTATTATGCAATCCAGTGTCAGGTTTAGTGGTCTATCGTCGATGACACTCACGCGTGGTAAACATGATAATATAAATTAATTGCAATTTCTTTTAATTTAATGTAAAATAAAAAATTAAGTTTAAAAACTAACTGATGTACTCTACTCTACAGATATCGTTTAAAATAATATTTTTATTGGTTTGCCATGACAAACAATGTTATTATTTAATTTGTCATTTGTTTGTATATAAAGAAGTATAACATTTGAATTTATACTGCACAGTGCACACACGAAGTCTCCGATACAATGTGTTTTCTATAAAATTTGCATTTGAAATTATAATTTATAATCCATGTCACCAAAAGAGTGTTACTGTTACAGGCATTTTATAGAGAACCACAAAGCATTGTTTTGTACATTATTAGAAAAACTAAGCGCTATTTAGGATGACTCCATCCGAGAAGGAACATACTTAATCCAATTTGAAAGTGTAACGGAATTTCCAGTGAAATGCATGTTTAATGTTTTATTAATATATCTATTAAGTCTTTGGAATAAATAATAACATTTTGTTAATTTGTTGCTTGTTGTAGATTATTTACCGAGTTATGTAATTATTTGATTTAGCATAATTTAAAAGACAATTCAGATTTGTTTTATTATAAATGTGCACTTTATTCACTCTCTTCTAAGCAGACTTCTTGATTTTTTTTTACAGGGCTTTAGTTCTTGCAATATTAAAAATATTACTAAAAAGTACAGTTAAAAACTGACTATAGACTTATTTTCATATTGGTGGGGGATAAGGTCAATTCTTATTATTGACTGTTTAAATCTATTATCTATTTTATAATCAAAGTCGCTATATTTATAAATTTATTAAAATAATTGACAAGTCTGACTGTTTGTAAATAATATTTATCGATTTATTTTTTAATTAGTTTCCTTAGAAATTCTTTCTAAATTACGTTAATTTATTAAGAGTTTGTAGAAGTAATCCATGTTGTTAATTATTAAAACTGATAAATAAAATAGATTTTTTAAATTATGAGT